CGCACCTGCCCCGCTACTGCCCCGCACCTGCCGTGCTCCTGCCCCGCACCTGCCGTGCTCCTGCCCCGCACCTGCCCCGCTCCTGCCCCGCTCCATGCCCCGCACCTGCCCCGCACCTGCTCCGCTCGGCCTCCGCCTCTCTCCCGCTTGCGCGTGTGCCCCCCACCCCGCGCGTCCTGACCCGGCCCGACCCCGCGCCTGCCGCCCCCGTGGAGCCGGGCACACACACCTTTGAAGTGGGCGCCCCCTGCGCCCCGGGGCCCGACCTCGACGGGAGGCTGAGGAGCCCTGCGGAGGCGGAGGCCGAGGGGCTGGGGCGCTCGCAGGGGCCCGGGGACCCCAGGGGGCGGCCTCCCCGGAGCGGCCCCGCCCCGCCCGCACCCACCCGGCGTGCGGGGCTGTGCGCGTGCGTGTGAGCGCAGGTGTGCGCGGGTGCACGTGTGTGAGCAGGTGTGCGCGGGTGCACGTGTGTGAGCAGGTGTGCACGTGTGCGCGTGTCTGTGCGTGTGCGCGCGCCGAGCCGTGCAGCGGGCGGGTCCGCGGAGGAGGAGCCGCGCGGAAGCGCCCAGTGGGCGACACCGGCCCGCCGAGGCCCCTCCCAAGCGCTCTCCGGGGCCCCCGCGCGGCCGGGCGGCCTCCGCTGCAAGCGGGACGTCCGTGCCCCGGGACTGGGGCTTCGGCCCTGCGGGTGAGGGCCCGGGGCTCCCGGGCGGCTCCGCGGCGGCGGGGGGCGGGGGCGGCGTCGTGCCCGAGCCCGAGCCCGAGCCCGAGCCCAGCCTGGCCCGTCGCGGGGAGGGGCCGCCGCCCGCAGGCCCCGCCCCCAGCCCCCGCCCCCGCCCCGCCCACCGCCGCCCGCAGGCCCCGCCCTCCGCCCCGCCCTCCGCCGTCCGCAGGCCCCGCCCTCCGCCCCGGCCCCGCCCACCACAGTCTGCAGGCCGCGCCCTCCGCCGGGCCCCGGCCCCGCCTCCAGGCCCCGCCCCGCCTCCGGGCCCCGCCCCGCCTCCGGGCCCCGCCCCGCCTCCAGGCCCCGCCCCGCCTCCAGGCCCCGCCCCCGGCCCCGCGCGCTCCCGGCCCGGGGAGGCGTGTGCTGCTCCCGCCGGCGCTCCCGGGAGCGGGCGGCTGCCGGAGGAGGACGCGGGCTTCCCGGGCGGCCGCTGCTCTCTAGGATCCTGCCTCTGCTCGCGGGGCGCCGGCTCCCTGCTGGGGCGGGCCGCGGCGCCGAGGTGCAGAGCCGCCGCCCCCCTCCAGCCGCCGGGACCCGTCCGCCGGGCTCGGCCGCGCAGCTCGCCCCGCCGCCCCCCGCCTGCAGCTGCTGCGCCCGGGGCCGGGGCCGGGTCCCCGCGGACGCCCGGGCTCGGTAAGCGCCCGCGCCCCCAGGCCGGCTCGCGGGGGTCCGGGCGGCAGGTGGCACCGCGACCGGGGCGGGGGATGCGGCCGGGGGCGGCAGCGGGAGCGCGGAGGCTGCGCGGCGCCGGGCGGGGGGGGGGTGCGGCCGCTGCAGGTGCGGGGTCGGGGCCGCGGCGCCGCCCAGGTGAGGCCCACCTGCACCCCCCCCCCGCCCCCGGGTGGCCGGCAGCGCCCGCAGGCACCGGGCACGGGCGCGCGGCCAGGTGGGCAGCTCACCTGCCGGCCTGGGCCTCCCCGCCCCCTCCTCCCCCTCCTCCCGGGGCTTCGGGGACCCCCCAGGCCGGTGCAGGACGAGCGCTGGGCAGGGAAACAGCCTTGTGCTGGGGCTGGGAGGCGCCCAGGGATGCCCGCCCGCTGTCTGGGGGCTCGGGGCTCCGCGCTTAGGGAGTCTCGTGCTGCTCGGGGGGAGGGAGGGAGGGAGGGAGGGAGATCTCTCTGCTCCTGGGAGGATGCTTTGCGCTGATTCCCCCAAACACGGATACCTTGGGAAGGAAGGGAGATTTTTCAGACCAGTTTTGCCATGAGGGAGGTTGCTCCTTCTTTTTTCTTTTTCCTTTTCTCCCCACCCTTATTTTTCTTATTCTGTTCCTTCTTCTCCCTCCTGCTGCCTCCACCACCGCCTTCCTCCTCCTCTTCTGCTTCTTCATCATCATCATCACCATCATCATCATCTTCTTCTTCTTCTTCTAGGTTAGGGAGAGTGAGGTAACTGGCAGCCAGTTAAAAGGAAGGTAATTTCGCTTTTCGTTAAGGCGGGAGGCAGGGAGATAAACATCCACAACCAAACCCAAATAAATAAATAAATTATGTGGTGTAGGGCAAAATGGGGGCAGGCAGGTCTAGATCTCCTGCAGAGTCGGTGGGGAACTAGAGGACCCGCTAGCGCGTGACCTTCTGGGAGTCAGTCAGTCAGTCGGCAGAGGGGTGCATGGTGTACGGGTTCTGCGGGGGGTGGGGGGTGAAGGGGGGTGGACAGGGTATTATAGCTGCTGGGAGGGAGTTGGGGGAGAAGCTGAGCCAACTCTCAGGCTCTGTGGCCTGTGAACGTCTCAAAAGATGGGGAGGGCCCGACGTTCCAGGACGAATGTGACCCCAGGGTGATTCTGTAAATGGAGATCTGGAGACCTTCCCCCGGGGGAGTAAACATTTCAGAGAACGTGCCGCTGTTAGAGTCGGCAACCGAAGGGGCTTGTCCTCGGAGACAGCTTCCGAGGTGTACTTTCTGGATCCTGTGTCCGAACGCAGCTCGCCTCTTGCCCTAGGAGACTGTGACTGGGGAGCCCTGTGCTTACCGCTCCCCTGCTCTGTCACTTCGTAAAACTCGGTGGGCTTAGGCTCCGAGGCCGACAGGATTCAGCCTGGAGCAGCAGGTGGTCAAGCGCTGAATCCTGCTAATGGCTCCAGAAAGCCATTTCTCCTGTGCTCCCCAAGTGCTTCCAGTAATAGAAACTGGTGGATGCCCTGAATTCTGACTGTCGTGATCCTCCCCAGCTCTCGGGGCCACCCTGCGTTCTTGGGAGTCCTGTCGGACCCACTGAATGCAAAAGCATAGGAGACAGAAGACAGGGCAGTCTTTCCAGGTCCTGCTGAGGACGTGAATTAGCTGGACCTGGAGGGAGCCGACCTAGAAGAGAGGCCAGGAATTCCAGGTGACAGAGGAGCCAGATCGGGGCTGCGAGGAAGATGCGATCAGCAAGTGGCAGATCGGAAACAGAAGTGGGCAGAGAGAGGCAAGGGAGCTGGCCGGGGGGGGGGGGGGCGGGGGGGGTGGTCCGGGAGATGGGAGATGATGGATGAAATTATGAGGGGAATGTCTGATGGGTGGAGGATAAAATCCACACAAACTGGGATTTTAAACATAAGGAGATAGTCCCCTGAGAAGATGTAGGAGGAAGCATTGAGGTGAACATGGAGGAACCGCGAGGAGGAAAAAAAAAAAAAAAAAAAAGATGATTATCAGAGAAGTGGAAACTGGGATTAGCTCCTAGGCTGTGGGTGGTAGGGAGTGTTCTGGAGTCTGGGGAACAGAAAAACAACAACAGGGACGTGCTTCAGGGCGGCAGGAAGTGCCAACCTAAGACAGGCCGCTGGGGAGTCTCCGAGGGCCCCCGTGTCCTCACTTCTGTCCTCCCCCTAACTGAGGCTGTGGCGCATGGACATAGGGGTTCGGGGTGAGTACCAGACAGCAGAGGCCGAGGCCACTGTCGCCCTGTTCAGAGCCGGCAGCCTCGATGGACGTGCATGATGTCTGTGCTCTCCTGGCAGCGTTCACCGTCTCCTTCGGTCCTCACCAAGAGACGGGGGAGGTTCCATGTGCCCTGCACTTCGTAGGTGAGGAGACTGAGGCTTGTGGAAGCCGTGGAGCCCGGGTGAAAGCAGACCCGTCCCTCCAGCGGCCCTGATCCTGAATCAAGACAGAGAGGGGTGGAGAGGCACCAAATCCAGAAGTATTTGATGAGTGGAAATTCAAAAAAAAAAAAAAAAAAAAGATAAAAAAATATGCCTTGAGATCAATGAACGATGGAAGCAGTTGTAAGGTGACTGCATCGTTGTTGTGGAAGGAAGAGAGTGACCGCGAGAGTTAAGACCGGGCATGAGCGAAAGGGACAGCCGTGTGGGTCGAGAGTGGAGAGAGGAGAAATAATTGAGTTGCCATGAGGATAGACCGAGCGGGAATCAGAACCAAAGAAGAGGGACAGGAGGGTGGTTGGGTGAGGAGGAGACGTCACCGGCTGCGGTGGTCCCTCGGGGCCTCGGGTGCTTTGCTTGCTTGAGGCCCAGAAGAGCGGGGTCTGGGACGGAGGCGCCGTCGGCTCTTTAGGAGTCGATGCTTTTTACTTTGCTCCCATGCTTGTTCCCTTCCTTCTTCAGGTGGAGTGCTGCTTCTGCGCCGCCTTAGCTGAAGGATGCTCTGCGCTCCCTGGCCTTCCATGGAGACCTCCGAGCCGGGTTGGCCCCCGCTGACGCCTCGCCTCGTACCTTCCCTACCTCCCAAGGTGTTTGCCTGTGTCGCGAGCTCGGCCCGGGCCCCGCGCCCCGGAGGCCTGTGCTGAACCCAGGGCGGCGCCCGGAGGAGCGGCCGCGGGCTCTGGGCGGCGATGGCCCGGCGCGCTTCCAGCCGCTCGCCCGCTCGGGTCAAGCCGTCACGAGAAGGCAAGTGCTAAGACTAAAGGCTTATTTGCATTTTATTTAAATCTGATGGACCGAGCTTTGGACGATTTCCATGGCAGAAAAATCCATTCCATTTTCCAGGCACAAGTGCTGGCCGTCAGATAGCCGCGGCCTTTGAATCCCCGGGCGGCGGCGGCGGCCAGTTCGGGCCGCGCTTCCAGACTGCGCCCGGGCCCCGGGCGCTGGGGGCCCCGGCGGGGACTTGGGCCCGGCGCGGCGCTACCCGGACGGGCCGGGCCCGGAGAGCAGCGCTCGTCCCTGGGAACCGAGAGCATGGGGCGTGCTGGTTTAAAAACGGAAAATGCAAAGTTGGACTGAAAATATCCTCAGTCTTCCGAGCAATCTGCTGAACGGTTCCAAACTTACCTTAGTCTGGTGAGGCGGGGAGCTGCCCCACTTTCCGTCGCCCGCCTCCCGCGGCCATGGAGGTCGCGATGGTGAGCGCCGAGAGCTCGGGCTGCAACAGCCACATGCCCTACGGCTACGCGGCGCAGGCCCGGGCCCGGGAGCGGGAGCGGCTGGCCCAGTCGAGGGCCGCGGCGGCCGCGGCGGTGGCGGCGGCCACGGCCGCGGCCGCGGAGGGCGCTGGGGGCCCCGGGGGCGGCGCGCACCAGCAGCACCAGCAGCACCAGCAGCACCAGCAGCACCAGCAGCAGCAGCTGCAGCAGCAGCAGCCCCGCGGCACCTGCCCCGCGCTCGAGCCCCAGGGCGGCCGTGTGGCCCGGAGGCGCCGGCGCTCGCGGCCCAACCGGAGGAGGCCGCCGCCGCGGCCCGGCGGCTTCCCGCACGGCTCGGACCTGCTGCCCAGCGGCTCGGAGGAGAGGATCCTGAGGGAGCTGAGCGACGAGGACGAGGACGAGGACGACGAGGACGACGACGACACCGAGGAGGAGGCCCGGCTGGGCCGCGGCCAGGACGACCGCGCGGCCCACGGCTCCTGCAGCGACCTGCTGCCCCGGGACGACGGCGCCTACGGCCCGGGCCGGCCCAGCGGCTGCTGCGAGCGGGTGGTCATCAACGTGTCGGGCCTGCGCTTCGAGACCCAGATGAAGACCCTGGCCCAGTTTCCCGACACCTTGCTGGGCGACCCCGAGAAGAGGACGCAGTACTTCGACCCGCTGCGAAACGAGTATTTCTTCGACAGGAACCGGCCGAGCTTCGACGCCATCCTGTACTACTACCAGTCGGGCGGCCGCCTCAAGAGGCCGGTCAACGTGCCCTTCGACATCTTCACGGAGGAGGTGAAGTTCTACCAGCTGGGAGAGGAGGCCCTGCTCAAGTTCCGGGAGGACGAGGGCTTTGTGCGGGAGGAGGAGGACCGGGCCCTGCCGGAGAACGAGTTTAAAAAGCAGATCTGGCTCCTCTTTGAGTACCCGGAGAGCTCCAGCCCAGCCAGGGGCATCGCCATCGTGTCCGTCCTGGTCATCTTGATCTCCATCGTCATCTTCTGCCTGGAAACCCTGCCCGAGTTCCGGGACGACAGGGACCTCATCATGGCACTGGGCGCGGGGGGACACGGCGGGTCGTTGAACGACTCCTCGGCGCCCCACCTAGAGAGCTCAGGGCACACCATCTTCAACGACCCCTTCTTCATCGTGGAGACCGTCTGTATTGTCTGGTTCTCCTTCGAGTTTGTGGTCCGCTGCTTCGCTTGTCCCAGCCAAGCACTCTTCTTCAAAAACATCATGAACATCATTGACATTGTCTCCATTTTGCCTTACTTCATCACGCTGGGCACCGATCTGGCCCAGCACCAGGGGGGCGGCAACGGGCAGCAGCAGCAGGCCATGTCCTTTGCCATCCTCAGGATCATCCGTCTGGTCCGCGTGTTCCGAATCTTCAAGCTGTCCAGGCACTCCAAGGGCCTGCAGATCCTGGGCCACACGCTCCGAGCCAGCATGCGGGAGCTGGGCCTTCTGATCTTCTTCCTCTTCATCGGGGTCATCCTGTTCTCCAGCGCCGTGTACTTCGCGGAGGCCGATGAGCCCACCACCCATTTCCAGAGCATCCCAGATGCGTTTTGGTGGGCCGTGGTGACCATGACGACTGTGGGCTACGGGGACATGAAGCCCATCACCGTGGGGGGCAAGATCGTGGGGTCCCTGTGTGCCATCGCAGGTGTCTTAACCATCGCTTTGCCGGTGCCAGTGATTGTCTCTAACTTTAACTATTTCTACCACAGAGAGACTGAGAATGAGGAGCAGACGCAGCTGACACAGAATGCGGTCAGTTGCCCGTACCTCCCCTCTAATTTGCTGAAGAAATTCCGGAGCTCTACGTCTTCCTCCCTGGGGGACAAGTCAGAGTATCTGGAGATGGAAGAAGGAGTCAAGGAATCCCTCTGCGCGAAGGAGGAGAAGTGTCAGGGAAAGGGGGACGACAGCGAGACGGAGAGAAACAACTGTTCCAACGCCAAGGCTGTGGAGACCGATGTGTGAACCCTGCTCTCCGCCCGCCGCCGGCCCCCCCTCCCCTCCCCGACCCCGGTATCTCCAGCTACATCTCACGCGTAGAGAGCGCAGTTGCGAGTTGCGACGACGGCGAGATGTGCCGACGGACCCGATGCGCAGAGCACCGCACCATTTACTTAAAGGTTACCCGTGGCGTGATGGTCACTAAACTTGTATGGCGCATCGAATAAGATGGTACATCCTGGAGAAGAGGGAGGCTAAAATTAGGAGCAGATCTATCTTTATATATTTTTTATCAGAATGCAAGAATTTTGCACATCAACCGGAGAAGATGTCCAGAGAGCAGAGGTGGTGGCTCCACGGAGAGAATGTGTACGCGTGTGCTTGCGTGTGTGCGCGCTGCGTGCGTGTGTAAGCGAATTGTCAACGTTGCCAGTCGTTGTGCGGTGATGGGAGAAGTTGGCATTTTGAAGTATTTACTATGTAAGAAATGACGAACCCGAGCAGTCATCTATTAGTGCTTTGACAGCATCTCATGTCTTTGGATTCCATGATTGTTTTTAAAGAACTGTAAGAATTACCGTGTAGAAAAAAAAAAAGAGAGAGAGAGAGAGAGAAAGAAAAGAAAGTGGATTATTTAATAGAATATAGGTCACGATTTTATCTTGGATTTAATTAAAGTTTATTTTTAACTGGAAATTCACTTTTGAAAAGGCCGCAGGGGCCTTTGGAAATTGATTATATTTTATTACTGATTTCGGGGGAAGATGGGACAGCCAATGCCTAACACTATGGAAGAAGTGAAACCAGAGAAAATGTAACAAGTCTTGCTCACAGTTAACGGGACTGGAATTTTTTTTTTTTTCCCTTTCCTTTGCACTATTTTATATGCTGGAGATGGAGAGAGACTTCCTACTGTGAATGTTTACTGATGTAACAGCTCCGTGACAATCACTGGGAGAATGATTTCTTGGTCTTACGCGATAGTCCTTCTCTTTGTGTGAGACTAATGGCCGCGCAGATAACAGCACATGGTCCCCCTTTTTAAAATTCCAGATAACTGATCTGCAAAGGGAGTATGAAGTAACACTTAGCAACGGAATCTTTTGAGATCGGACTGTTCACGACGATGCTTCCGAAACCATACGACTTAATTATTCTTCTGCCTTTTAAATCCAGAATAATTTAACCAAAGTTAATGCATGCACTGAAAGAGTTCTTGAAGAAATAAGATGCCCAGCAGCTACAGTGATTATGGCTTAAGAGCTTTCTATTAAACGTGCAACATAAATGCTAGATTTATTAAGTTTATTTCTTTGTGCAGCTCCATAAAGGCACAGTGTGGGGAGTCAGCTCAGAATTGAGCATTTTTGTCTGCCAAAACTGACCCAGGGGAGAGTTGCGTCAAAACATTGAGTTTTGGTGACACCGTCATTATCATTTTTGTTAAAAAAAAAAAAATCTTATGGCACGTGTGTTTGATTCATGACAGGGCGTTCTAGAAGGTGCGGCAACAGCTAGTGGTCAGACTTGCGCTATTCCGTCGTGATGAGATGTAGGTCGGCAGATTCAGAGTCCACGAGGGGCCTTATTCTCCAGTGTCTCCTCAACATCTATTCTTTATAAGATGGTTGTCCTGAGATTCGGGGAAAATAACCCTATGTAGCACATAATGAACTCTGACAACTGTGAATTAAAAAAAAAAAAAAAAAGATCTAGAATAGCTTTTCTCAAGCTTTTAAATCGCAGGCCATCGTTTATAATAACGTGAATCTTTAATAACATTCGAAATTCCAAGTAAATCTAAGGTCAGGTTTGAAAGCAAAGTTGCGCCCCTCCCCTCACCCCTTCCCCACCACTTACGGGAAACCCCCCCCCCCTCAAGAATACCTTGGGGAGAATGGAAAGCAGCGAGCAGCATGGGGGTTGGTCGAATGCTGTGACCAAAGATGTCTAGTGGGCAAAAGAGCGGCAAAACGAGGAAACTGAACTTGTAGCAAGACTCCCGGGATGGCATCGTAATAGGCTTGGGATCTGGAGCACAAACGTGGCGAGCCTTAGCCTAGGAGTCGGGCTGTCTGGGTTGGTCCCTGGGCCCTTGACAAGTCACCCTGCATCTCTGCGCCCCGTTTCCGCGGGAGGAGGGCACGTAAGGCTCTCGTCCCAGCACAGAGTCGCAGGGACAGCAGATGAGCCCCGAGAGGCCGAGCGATGTAAACGCCGCAGGTTATGTCCAGGTCGTTCTCTTCCTCCGGGAGGACGAGGTCTGGGACCCAGCGGCTAGGTGTGCCTGCGCTTTCCCGGGACACCGCGAAGAGCATGGGCCATCTCTTCAGTTTTGAGCTCCTGACGACAGGGGGACGCGCAGACGCAAGGTAGCCCGTCACTGACCACTTACCGCAGGTCCCTCAACTGGGGAAAGGCCCCAGGCGTGCGGCGCTGTGAAAGCCGCGTGTGTGAGTGAGATCCCGCGTGCCCCGCGCCGCGCCCAGTGGGTGCGGTTGTCCCAGGGCGGTTTAAGTGCCCGCCCTTGGGTGGCGACCGGCCGCCGTGGCCGCCCGGCGATGCTTGGGCTCCTCGGAAGGGAAGAGGCAGCGGGTGTCCCCGGCGTCTCCTGTTTGGAGGGAAGTTCCGTTTAGCGGAGCTGTAGTAGTATCAGACTCGATAATTCTGTGGATTCAAGGGATAGAGTCATTTCGAGGTCCTGGAGTAGTTCTCCTTAAGCGTTTTCTTAGGGGCCACCGCGGGCTTCCAAACTGCGTATTGTCGGGCTATCGCGGGCTCCGTGTCGCGCCGTTTGTATTTTCCTTCGAGATGCATTTATTTTAGGGTGTCGGGAGCTCATGTCCACACTAGGAAGAAAGCCCCGACGGCCTCGGGGTTCGCGAAGGGCGCTTCGGTAGGAGCGCTTCCCGGGTAGGGAATGTGCGAAGGCCGGGAGCGCGACAGGTGCCGCTGTGGGTGAACGACGTTGTTCCAAGGCAGAGCCGGGCAGGCTTCAGGCCACGTGCAAGACGCTACACTGAGGACCATGCTTCCAGGGGCTCTTTGTGCCTGAGGCCGGGGACCGCCCTCTCAGACACCACCCCCCGCATTTGGCTGTATTTGATAAAACGGGGGTGGCTCCATTCAGAGATTCGAATTTCGGGCATCTGGGATCCTATAGTTGCTTTTCAGGTGACCATGTTACCAAAAGTGCCCTATTTGAAGGTCAGGCCTCCTCAGAGTCGTCTTTTCAAGGGTTCTGCGCTGTTCTCTCTTTGCAAATGCTTGAAAAGGAAACAATGGTCACGGAGAAGAGAGGAGGACCAACTATTAGTTAGTAGTTTCTGCACAACTATTCTGCGAAATCTCTGCGAAATTGAGCTAGCGGATGCCCGAGGAATGAGGGTTGGCCTAGGAGTGGAGAGCTGGCTTGCTGACACGGGCGCATCATTTCATCTTCCTGATTCTCAGTCGTGCTGTTGGTTTTTTTAGGTGTAAAATCAGGCTGTTGAGCCACGTTATCCCTCGATTCCTTCCAGCACGGAAATTCTCTGAAGTCGAAGGAAGTATCAGACGAGCTTGGTATTTTCCAAGCATTCAGGTCACGCCAGCCTTGATCTTACATAGTTACGTAGAGGGAGCAAAATAGTTCCGAAATCTCACCGTTGGGTTAAATGCAGAACCAGGAGTTTGAGACTGAGATTTTAGAATGTAAGCTGAATGGCAAGGGTGTCTTTTTTTTTTGTTGTTTTTTTTTTTTTTTTTTTGAAAGGGTGTCTTTTGAAGCTCTTTCTTCCAACAACTATAGGGAAGGGATTTCCTTAATTAAAAAAAAAAAATCACCCAGTCTCCAATCGAATACATATGGTGAAAGTTGGTAAGTAAACATTTTGATTTCTTGCTTTGTTATAGTAGAGTTTTGTCAGCAAACAGTGCTCCGACCTGTGCTGGGGAACTCATTTTATGCCTAAACACATGTAGTATTTCACAAGTGCTACTGCTTTTCTTGTCATGTTTGTTTTAAGCAGGATCGCTGAAGCTCTGTGAAAATCTTTTCATTAAGGCTGCGTTACAATAGAACCCAATATATGAATAAGAGATCTCTGTGGAAAAACACTCTGATGCATATACGTCCGTGCGTCCATTTTTTAAGGAAGTCGACATTAACCAGCAGAGAATTATTATTATTATTTTTTTTTGAGAATTATTCTTAATTGCATTAGAATCATGAGCAGTAGAGTATCCCCACGTCCCGGAAGAATGAGAGATGCTGTTCTCCGTCGTCGATTCTGCGGAGCGCGATGCGTCTTCCGCCGCAGTGTTGCAGCTGTTCGTAGGTAAAGGGGGAAATACACCAGGCTCAGTTTGCATTTCTCAGTGAACACCTGCTGTGGTCATGTGCACGATGCGGAGCGTAACACCCCTCTTTATATGGCTTTTTTTCCCCCCTTATTGATGCCGTATAGAATGATTACGGGTTGTCATTCAGTGACAGGGAATCTTCCTGACCCAAAAGTCACTCTGAATTCTGCAAGGGACAGTTGGTGGGGACAAAAGGTGCTTCGTGGTTTTCCTGCCTGCAATGACGTTTCCCTCAAAGCACAGGGTCTTCCAAACCGACGTAGCCGGTACAGGTTAGAAGACGGCCCTGCTTTCTAGTATGGAGATCATTATCCCTGTTTTGAAAGGAGGTTTGTGTTCAAGATTGAAGGAAGCGGAGCTATTTTTGCAGTAAATGGGAATGTGTACTTCTGAAATGTAAATTAAGATTAGGACTGTGATATGAGTTTTATTTCTGACTTGGTTCTCTGTTTCCATAGCAGTCCCAATTTCCTACAGTATCTTCAGGAAAAAGTATGCTAATACGCATCAGACCATATGGCCCAATCTGAGGTACGGAAAATATGGTTATTTTCTTTATGGATAAATAAATTAACCCCAGGGTATGAGTTGAGTGCTTTGAAAAACAGCCCATGTTTAAGGAGCCACGGCTCTGGGGGAGACTCGAACGTGCGGCCCTGGGGCCTGTGGGTAGCACTGAGTGGTTTCAGGCCAGCGGCATGCTCCGCCAGGTGTCCTGCTGCCGTCTAGGAAAGGCTGTTCCCGCCTTCGGTGCTCATGGCGTTGCTCATTTGCGGTTACGTTTTTGATTTATCTGCCTCTATCGGTGTCTTGGAAGGAGAATTTGTACCCAGAGTATCAGGAGCTAAACGGTTTTGACGGCTGACCCGGGAATGCTCAACTTTTGGCTCCTGACTTGGCAAAGAATGGGTCGTGTAGACGCTCCACAACCAGGTCCTCATCCGAGCTGGCTTCACTCGGCCTCAAAACCGTGGTCTCCCCTTCAACAGCCAGGCTAGGAAAACGCAAAACTGTGAACGGAAACCAATAAAGTCGAAAGAAACAACCAATGCACTGAAACTAGAAACCAGTACGCAAAACCTGTCCGGAAACCCAGTGTGTCGTGCACATCCTTGCGTCCTGTACCTAGAACGAGCCGTGAACGGCTTCGGGACGGCTTTGCCACCTCTCCTCACGGGCAGCAGACGTGGCCCGGAGGCGACCGTTGCCGTGAAAGCTGTAAAGCACAGATAGGGTCATGCCAGTTAACGTTTTCTATGAAAATGATAGAAACGCCAACCGACCTTACAAGTGGTCTTAATGGCGATTATTAGGAATAACTAATAGGTATGGAAATATGCTGCTTTTCTCCAGTTATTGGCATAATGCGCGAATGTACTTGGATTGATTTCTCATGATTCCGGAGATTTTTCGTGGTTCCTCGCATAGCCTTAAAGCCACAGAGCATGAAGGCATTTTGTACACAGCTTCTCAAGCTGGATACTCAAGGATCGGTCAGTCGCCTCTTAAATCAGCTAAATAAATAGCCCCTGTGGATGCTGCCTACACTTGTACCAGTGCTGAGCCAGATAATTACATTGGTTTCAGAATGGTTAGATTAATATGCTTATATAAGTATAATATATATTTTATATATATTATATTTTATATATAATTTTTATATTTATATTAAATAAATACATAAATAAATATATTTGTTATATTATATTATATATAATATACTATATTTATCATAATATATTAATATATTATTTATATATTATTGATATTATGTAAATAATATTAAATATATTTAATATTAATATATTAATATTGAATATATTAAATGATATATATATTTATAAAATACCTTTAATAAAAAATAAAATAAAATAAAATAAAATAAAATAACTTTAATGCTCTGCCTTTATTCTGGCCAAAGATAGGAAAAT